TCACAGTAAGGGATTGACCAATGGCGAATATTTTATATTATTTATCCCTTATTATGACCTTAATCTAAAATGCTTGAAGCGTGTCTTTGCAGAAATTTGCGATATTGCGTCGAGACCTACGACCAAAAATGTGCATCAGTCATGAATATAAACTCTGTGAGCTCCTCAGTGGAGAACGGCACCTAATACTTCGCCTTCGGAAGGTGCTTTACGCTCAGACAGAGGCCATAGTCGCTCGATCTTGACGCGAGAATAGTAAACTTAGGCACGGTAACCCTCGAGGTGTCTTGGGTTCAGGTCGTGAATAGCAGAGTTAAGGCCTTCTATAAAAGAGAGCTCCCTTCGAGGATCTCTCCTCGAAACGGTGGCCTTCCTGACCTTTGATAAGGATCCATTTCAAAGTGGTTCTACTGCCGACTTTGGAGTGGTTTTGAGGATTGGACTGTACTACGATGAGTGGCCTTTCTTATGATTATGTGATTACCTGGACTGACATCGAACTTTATTAGGGTGGTGCACGCTTGGTCAGGCATTCATAAACTGGCTCGTTCCTTTTAGTCTCCGAAGAAGGCGTTCCAGCCGAAACGTAATCTAATGAAGCTGAATTCAACCGTGTGTGGACTTGAAGCCAAGCACCTTTCAACTGGCACAATGCCGTGGTTTACGGGGCGTGTATGGCGAGTGAGGCTAGGTTCATACCTTGCGGCAGCGTCCAGTAGTGTCTACTAGTGTCCACGGGCGTCCAGGAGTGGAGAGTATAGGAAGTGGGAGGATAGCAGACTGCTGGTAGAGTATGGGGAAGTAGGAGGGTAGCAAGCAGCTGGAGCTGGAAACAGGTGGTGGAATTGCGGCGTGCGCAACCGCACCGCACAGCTTCTAAAGCACAGAATTAAAGGATAAAAAAGGATAGTCTTCGCCGTTAATCAATCCCTTTGTGGGATGCGGCACGCATTCTACTTCCATTCAGAATCGTAGTGGCTTATTGAATGCGATGTGGCCTATACAATGACTTGCGGTGGCCAGCCGATGTACAAGTCAGTGTTTTATCCTCCCAGACGAATCTGGTACCAATTTACCGTCCCCGGAGGGTAGAAGGCTTTGGGCAGGTCGACCCGGGATTCGAACCCGGCGCCGCGCGAGTGGTAAGCGCGCCACTTGTCACTACACCACCTCCGCCCCAAAGGACAGAATTATGGAGTTTAAGGTACCGTGCAGTGCAGTGCAGGTCACGGTGCGGTTGCACACGCTGCAATTTCACGACGCCTAATCCAGCTGTTTGCTACCCTCCTACTTCCCCATACTCTCTACTTCCGGTCGCTGGTGAACGCCGATGGACGCTGGTAGACGCTGGTAGGCGCTAGATCAATACCTATACTTCCCTTTGCTGGCGGTATCTATACCTCTCTAGTCGCCGACACGGATGCTCGAACGTTGCAGGACGCTGGTAGACTCTGGTGGACTGCTGCAAAGTATGATCGCAGCTCATGAGAATGTCCGGCTGAAGACAATGAGCTATGCAGAACTTGGACAGGACCAGCTCGCTTATTTAACCACCATCAAACATGCTTGCTGTTTTCAAGGAGCGATGGTAAGATCACAGGATCGGCTTCCAATTAATCTCGGCATCAGAGGCGTAATAATTCAGAATGTTTCTTCAGCATCCCGGGATGGTAAGATCATATATCACACAGATTCAGAAAAATGCAGTTTCTAGCCAAGGTACGGTAGATGCCAACCCAAGGCGCGTTATGCTAGACCAGTTGAGGAGAGGGTCATCGGATCACATCGTGTGAGAAGGGCGTGCCACAAACTTCGAGGACCTTGATGTACCTTCCAGCCTCTATGCAGGAAAGCTGTGGTCAAAACTACGCCGACGCCGACGTCGCCGCACTAACAACTGAATCAATTGACAAGCTCCCTCTAAGTAACGCGATACGGGCTCTGCGTATTTATTCTCTTGGAGAAAGATCAGTTAAGAGGAATAGGAATGGAAATGAATTCGAGAGTTAAGAAAGTAGAGGCGAGAGGGCCGGATCGAAGGGGTAGAGGAGAGATCTCGAAGGAGCCCACTTCCTTTAATGCCATACCGTACAGTGATTCTAAAATTGTTCCCTTCACTTACCATACCTTTTTCTTTTTCTTTTTCACTTCAAACTGGTCAAGTAGTCGTGGCTTCTGGTTTTTCTGCGATGCCACTAACCTCCTTCGCTCTTTCGCTGCATCTGATCCAGGCTTCACGTCAAATCCCTGAAGGTAACTTCTCCAGCATGAGAAAAGCAATTTCGCTGTTGAAATTTGTGTCACTGCTATAAAAAGTCGGCTCCATTTTATACTCCGACTCGTATAGAATTTTGCAATTTAATGACTTCAGAATTGAGGAAATCAAGTGCAGGGATAGCCGAGTGGTTAAGAGTGTAGACTCATAATCTCACTCTGAGCCACGAGTTCGATCCCTGCCGAGGCACAAACCTGCCTTGCAAAAATTGCAAAAATGGGGACGATACCAGCGTCAGGCCCAGGTTGACAGGCCGGCTGATGGAGGAACCCGTCACAACAATCATGACAAGTCGCAAAAGAATCAGTGTTAAAGCTAGGACGTCACCCGGAAGTGGCGCGCAGAACCCTCGCCCGAGTTCTGTGGTCAGTATGCGAGGGCTACCGAGGGGTGAACGACCTTCTACATTAAGGTAGCGTCTGTGAAAGAAAAAAAAATCAGACATCTGAGACGGAGGAATATCCAAGTCCTATGCCTGCAGGAAACGCGATGGAAGGGTGCGAAGGCCCGCGAGATTGGAGAAGGCGTCAAACTCTTCTACAATGGAGCAGACACCAAACGGAATGGCGTTGCCATAGCGGTGGCAGAATCCCTGAAGGAC